CAAAATATGGGTTCTGACTACACAACGTATTTGTTTATCCACTTATTCGTTACCAGGGTCCGGCAATAGAGATTGCTTCGGAAATTCGCCGTTTTTCCGCAGCATTACAATACTTTCTCTTTATACTGTTTTACCAGTTGCAAGAAAGTAACAACAGTTAAATACAGCAGTGCGGAAATATTCCTGTGGATTGTCAAGTCGCTCATCCTAGCACAACTCATCAAGATGGCGCTTCACACATCATACTCATCGTACGTTTCCAATGTTAAAGGAAGGCCCCACGTTTAAGTAAGAGAAGTTTCTGTGAACATTGCCTTCATAAAATTGCCTCTACATCCTGTTAATTGACGAGCTGCATTTTGCAGAAGTGCAGATGCTTAATCCAAATTTCTCCAAATTTTTGGATTGCAAAGATTGTGACAGTTGCGATACTAACAATTAATATTTCTTTCTATCGCAAAACATTCAACCTAAAAATATGCCCTATTACCTGGGTCCGCCCGCATTGCAGGCCTTGCAGACCCGAACGTTACGCCACTGCAGGTGCAAGTTACGGCAACAAGAAGGGACCACGTCATCCTGATTGCCTCTCAACTTCAGTCTCCTTACATTTAACTCCGAGCTTCATGTAAGGGGCAATTATATTAAATATTTTGAGAACCTCTGCAAATATATCATCGAAGACTAGAACGTTTTCTGAACGTTTAAGACTTGTCCGTTCGGTGGTCCTATCTACAGTTTTGAGGGTGAAAGGTAGAAAGGAAAGTGCCGAAAGGAGGCAATTGTAGTTTTTCTGGCAGGGGTGGGGCCAATGGAAAGGTCGTTCGTTGGAATTTTAAGGTCCCTCTTATCGTTGTGAGTTGCATGAATTTCAGGGAAGATGGATTTGGTATATATAGTTTATTTACATACATACATGTGAGTCATGCCATTTACTACCAGAGCATTCGCCCCCCGTTCGAATCTAATAACTGAACACGACATGAACATGACATCTGATGACTGAACGCTACCCCCGCTAGAAAAGCCGACCGTGCGTAAGGAAATGCATGGCTGTAGTGAAGATCATTATATTCCCAGCAATAATCGGCTCCGGCTGAAAGAACACCGCAAATGGAAGAATCTAACTTCGTTAATAACTTCGACATTAACTAATTGATTACGTATATTTGGCGGATGTGATCTCCTCTCGCGCAAACCAAGATAAACAATATTGAACCCAAAATCTCAAAATAATCATACGTATCAACGATGGCAAAAAAATTGTACTTACTTTTTAGTTCTGTCACCCACGCAACTGAAAAAACGATGGGATGTTTGGCATACAGATTTTTTTTCGTCGTAGTCTTGTATAATACAGAATTTGTTAATAATTTGGAATTCTAATAATTTGGAAAATATTCCTTGCTTGGGCTTCACCCAAGCTGCGTTCAGTAGATCCGAGTCGATACAGTCTCCGCTTGTGAGGGTTAGGTAACACTGAAGTATTTTGTTTACATGTATTCCCTAAAATTATATTTAGTGACGACTTATTCATCCAAAAATGTGTTACATTCAAAAATGTATCTGGTAAAATATAAACTCGAAAGTCCGCTAAACTATTTTAATGGACTTTTGCGTATTTTAACGGCCGTTGCTTTGGAGACTTAATTTGTTGTTTAGATGATTGGTTGCTGAGGAGTTACACGCGTGTTTACCGACGTCAATAACAAAAAAATATGTTTACAATTGTTTTCGGTTAGATATATTAAAGTAACATTTTTTTCACATTCCACTGAATATAATGTCATTTGAAGCCGTGGCATTTATCTTCGTCAGTATTACAAGAAATCGATTCTGAAATTGTTGTCCTACTTGTACCCACCGACCCTTTTCATCCTCTTTGTCCCATGTCTCATTTGCCCCTTTGTCCTCCTTGGCCCTTTCGTCCGTTTGTCCCCTTATGTCATTTTGTCCCTTCGTCCACTTTGACCCATTTGTCCCTTTTCCCATGTTCTCCCCTTGTCCTATTTCGCCCCGATTGTCCCATTTATTACCCTTAACCCTTTTGACCCCATTTTTCCTTTGTCAAATTTTGTCCCCTTGACCCGTTTGCTCCCCCTGCCCCATTTGCCCCTTGTCTCATTTGTCCCCATTGCCCCATGTGTCTCTTTGTCATCATTGCCCCATGTGTCTCTTTGTCCTCCTTGTCCCATTTGTCCCGTTGTCCCTTCCCCATTTTGCCCCTTTGCCTCTTGTACCCATTTGTGCCTTTGTCTCCATTGTCTAATCTGTCCCCGCCTTCCACTTTCCCATTTGTCTCTTCCTACCTCTTTTCCAATTTTGTCCATTTTGTCCCTTGACTTCTTGGCTATCCGGGTGACGCCGCGTCGTTGGCTGAGAGGCCGACGTTTTGCTTGTCATTTACCCATACATTTTGTCCCTTTGCCCTCTTCAACTTCTTTCACAGCTTTGTCCCACTTGTCCCCTTTGTTCTTTTGGTCTTTCCGCGCACTGCTATTGTTATTTTAAAACGGTAGCAAGACCCTGATCCAACAATCCTTGCGGTTGAACAGAAATGTTCAACGTGCAAGTTCTCAAGGGCCACAACGAAAATCTTTAATATGGTTCCGGGCCACATTTTCATTACTCGGGCTATCCACATCTGACTTCTCCGTATTGTCGATCTCGGCACTTTTCTCGGCTGCTCTAAAATGGGGGGGGGGTGATATCAGACCGTATCGAACATAACACAGTGACACATGTGGGGATGATTCTGAATTTACTAGAAAAAGTCCTTAAATCTAAACTTGACTTATTTTTACATTAAGGGGGGTGTTGACCCCAGCAGGGTGCGAGCGTTAGGTGCACAATGTTCTCGCACAACAAGGATGAAAAGGACTTTCAGTTTTCACTAAATAAAATTCTTCGTGGGCCACAATAAATGGCACCTCGGGCCACCAGTTTAAATTGGCGGCCTACCATAGAACATCGAGAGTAATGGCAATTCGTAATTGATGTAGGTGTTAAATGTTTATTTTGAATAACTATAAATAATAAAAACATTGTTTATAACACGTTCTCTATTAGTCTTTAAGGGCGAGGCTGGAAGGTTAACTACTCGGCTCCGCTGGCAGTTAACCTTCCGGCCTCGCCCTTAAGGCTAATTTAGAGGATTTTATACATAAATAATTATTACAGTTTCTGGCAATTTTCATTTAAAACTTATTTATTTCTCATATGATGCACCAACTTTGGATCTACGATGTCTCTCTATGATGATGATGATGATGATGATGATGGAGTCTCCATGTGTTGCACTAACTAAAAATTAGTCTTGTGGATCAAAGAAAGTTTGTGAGGAGGACTGGGAGTCAAGGGGAACGGCATACCCCTTAACCCATCGTTCCAGCTCCCGTACTTTAAGCTAAAGAAGGCATTTTTAAGATTTTTGCTTTGCTTTATGGAACAGACTATCTCTCTCCTCGCCACCTGCTCCAATCGCATGCGTCTTTGGAATGACGCTTAATATACGCTTCTGAGGTGTGTATCAAGTCAGGGTTCAAAAGCTTCTACTCTGCCCAAGCGTCCCACGCGTACGTTCATTCACACATTTGTTTATAAATTCATTCATTTTATTGGGTAATAACTAACAATTTTATTTTTTCTCGGGAATCCTCAAAACGGATTTGACTGGAACATTTCGAATTTTTCAAACCAATTCGTTCACATTTCCAAGGAAAAGTAAAACTACTAAATTATTTTTTAAACTTCGTATTTAGTATTAGTCGACAAATTAGCTTTTCAAACCATTATAGCCATGGAATTCAAAATGAATATTATTTAAGAGCAAAAAGTATCTAAATCATAGTTGAAAGAATCATATATGCTGCTGGCTACGTTCGACTTTATGTGTAATTAGAATCTATTAATTTTATAAATGTTTCCATGACAAAGAAAAATTAGACAAAATTCCCCAACCTTTTTGAGTTTGAAAATTGAAATTCTGATATAGTACAATAAAATAATTATGGTTTCTCTAAAAAACAATGAAATTGTTATTTTTCAAAATAAGAATTTTATACTGTAAAATTTAATACTAAGATCCAATTCAGTCAATTACACACATTCAGAAAACAAAAATGTCGTCTACTAGCACCTACTACGAATGATTGTTGGATTTTAAAAGAGAGGGACACAAGTTAGTACTAGAATCAAAAAAGGATCATGGAAGTTGTACTTCTTCATGAGGTATGTTGAGTTACAATATTTTATTGCTCGTACATATCAAAGTAAGTGGTGAGTGCTGATAAAAATTGGCCGAAGATTTTTAAATTTGAAGTTAGAGATGATTCTTTTGTGTTACTAGCCAAGGGATCGCCTAATTTAATTATTACTTTAATGAAAATTATTTATATTTAAGAGCAAAATACAATTATTATCATGTTACAAATAGTGTGTTACTATTTGAAAATCTCATCACGCTGATTATCAGGATAGGACAAAACCATTGTCTACAGCGAAAGAAGTAAGCTCCATGCAAGAATTCAAACTATTTAATTTTATTTTCTCGAAATTTTACTGTCAAATGAATGATTGTCGTAATTATCTTTCTTTTTTTCTCCAATAAGTCTTGACTTCTCGAATAAAAAAAGTACTACTAGCTCCTCCAGACCAGGAATTGGTATATCGCCGCGTTTTGTTACTGTGATTTCGCTTCTCTGTAGTTCCTCGGGGTAACTAGTATTAGGATTGAATGAAATTAGTCTATTGAAATTTACTTGTTTCCATTTTGTCTCCACTTCGAAAATTTCTAGTTATTCCCTTAACATTTTAGAATTCAATTTAACCTTAAAATATAAAAAATCTAGTTAAATTAACTCGGAGTAAGTACAATAAATAGTTATTTATGAATGAAAAAGTTCAATGAATAAATTCGCTTGTATTGTCTGCAATTGCTCCTGAAAACATTGGATTTCTAGAATGAAGCGACACCTATATTCCGTTTTTCATATTACATTAGGCGGGCTACCGCAGCGCAGCGATCGCTCTCCGGAGCTCGGCTACGCTCGGCTATGTCAGGCACGAAAGCAATGGTGGCAATTTGCGGCGGTGAATAAGGATTCTCTAAATGTTTGTACCTGAGCATCTGTACTCGCGATGTTCTGGCATTAAGGGATAAACGTACTTTGCGAGTTGGTAACCATGTAACTTAAAATATTCGATCATAGTCGCAAAGACAAATTTTGTATGCTTGTTTTTAATGATGTCAAATTAGGACCGTGATAATTTGAAGAAAACATTGCCGTGTGTGGTTGTGGACCATTATTAAAATGTTGAGAGGCATCAGAAACTTTAAAATGGTGTATTTTTTGCATCGAAAGGGCTGGAAAAGAGTACACTGAATTACCCAATTAGAGTTTTTTATTAATTTAGGAATTAATTAATAACAACGATAAAGTGATGGAATCAGCAGAACAATCCACCGCTTCAGTGAAGCAAGAGACTGAAAATTCCTCTAATACGCCAGAACCTATGGACGACAAGGCAAATTCTCAAGAAGAGAGTGTTCCAAGTCCCACCACTGGAGATGATCCTCCAACAAATCCATGGTCTTCGTCAAAGTGTATATTGTGTGAGCAAGTGTTAACAACTGCAGATGCTCCTAAACTTCTTGAATGTTTACATTCAGCATGTTCTTCTTGTGTCTCAAGTAGACTCAGTGAACCCAGTCAAGTTAATGGAGATGTTATTGGTTTGTAATTTCTGATCGGGCAAATGAAATATTCTTCACAATACTGTAAATATTAATGTTGTATTCTTGGTTTCAGTTGAGAATGACATTATTATATGTACAGTATGTAATGTACATTGCCGTGCTTCTAATATTATTGAGAATCAGTTCTTATTGGAAGCAGAGAGTGATTCTGAGAGTGCACAGAATTCCAAGACAAGTGATTTAAAATGTACAAGTTGCCATGATAATGCAGTTGCAACTAGTTGGTGTGTAGAATGTTCAGAGTATATATGTGATGGTTGTGTCCAGGTAAGTTAAACACTTTTATTTTGAATTCATTTTTACCACATTGTTTATAAAAAACAACATGCATGTGTGAAATTACATTCATTCTTTATTTAAAATATAGAATTACTGAAAAACATAATTTTTAGCAATTTCCAGAAATATTCTGTTATTTATTAAAAATGAGTTTTAGGTGGGCATTTGTACAATGCTGTAACATTCGTATGGAAACTAAGATTGGAGCCTATCATTTGAACTGTGTGGCTGGATATTGTAATCGCTTGTGTAATTGATCTAATGCTCTTGTTGCAATTTATTAAAGTTGTATATTGGTCAAGGGGGGAACATACAGTAGTCCAAAAGATTTAGAGAACAGATCGTGATAACGTGCAAAGAAAGTATGGAGAACCAATAGTTTATTCTAATGAAAACAATAAACTTTTGCTTATTTCTTTTCTTGAAGAGTGTCTAACAAAATGTTTATAGTAGATATTTTGGAAATTTATGTTGACACTCTTCTCAAAGCTACATGAAGGAATTGAAGATGTGGTGATCATATTCAATATATTCTATTAGAAGAAAAGAGGTATAAAGGACTCAAGGACTGAATATTCCACTCCATAATTGAAAATGTGGCAATATATTGATATAAAATGTGGCCTCCTATAAAGAAAAGTGTGAGGCATGTGATGGCCAACAGTAATGCTAATACAGATCTGTAAGTGGGTTAAAAGCAGCACAGCAGACCACCTTAGACTTCAGAAGCCCACGTTTGTCAAATTATGAGAGGGAAAGGAGCAGCAAAGGAAAAGTGTTGGAAAACCCTCGGGTATGGATGTTGGAAGCAGCCAAAGCTGAAGAAGAACTGGAGATAGATATAGGAATGTCTTGAAATTCCGAAGTAAGTTTGATACGAAGATCTTTCCTTTAGGAATGCCCTTCAGATAACCAGAAATAAGAAGATAAAGTGCCTTATATAATAAACATGGCTTTCCAGAATTTTATAAATGTTGGGCATTAATGCATTGTTCAGTTCTCTATAATGATTTATAAATCTGGTCAAACTTTGGCTATCTTCCAGACACATGTAAAAGTACCAAGAAATAGCAGTTTGTTGCTTTAAGAAGATAAAGGTTTGTTTTTTCGCTATTTCTTATACATCAGTGGAATATAATTGATGAACAAACTATTATCAAAAATTATAAAAAAGCTTGTAAACATGTGCAGAGTAATCTTCCAATGAAACAGTTATTAAAGAAGGAAGCAAAGTAATCCACTCTCACGCATGCACTGGTACATGTGTCATTACATCATTGTCAATTACAATTATCTTGAAGGATTATTGGCAAGACCATATTAATTAATTATTACATTGTACTTTTCTTATTAATTCTGTCAGTACCTCTGCATGTACCTCTGTTAAGTCAATGTTTCGGCATAGGACCCTTTCTAAAATTATCTTCCATTAAACCAGGTTTCCTTGCCTTCACTTGGAGTAATTATCCGTTATTTATAAGAGCCCGTTAGTAGTCTGTTGTCAAGGGGACCATCAGATATCATTCATGTCTCTCACATTTAACATGTTCCTGTGTCACTACTCTGCGGCCAGAATTGGGAAGGATTTTGAAGACTGGCAGAGAAGGATGCTTTACAGGGGTGAAGCAGGCAAACACATTTTGTTGGAACAAATTTCACATGAGATTGCCAGGAATTGAACCTGGAACTCTTTGGTAAAAGGCGAGCAACTTTGCTCTGAACCACGAGTTATCACTTCCCAAAACATTCTTTTGATTTTTTGTTTCTAGTATTAACATTCAAAAAGCAGCATATCCTCATGAAAGCGCTCGCCTTGTTCTTCCGAGAAAGCTCCTTGAATGTATCAGTATGCGCATCAATTGTTAAGATTTTTAGCAACGTTCGGCAGGTCATTGCACTATATTTTTTCACTATGTTCCAAACCAGTTTTGGCTCTTTTCACTGCCCAGAAATCCTTGGAAAACCACAATAAAGCTGATCCAAACAACTTTCTCGTTCTCATCAAACATCTGGTAATTTGTTGTATTTTAAGATCTTTACTTGTGATCCCATGAAAACTCCTGCTTTGATCTTTGCCTTGGACAAATTAGGGCAGAAGGGTGCAAGATAATTGCTGATTTTTATGTAGGGCTTTTACAAATCGCTTCATTAGCTTCAGTTTAATGTGCAGGGGAAGCATAAGCACTTTCTTGTTTCCTATCAGTGACTCACGATTAACATTACATGACCCCATAGAGAACTCAGTCCACTGAGAACAAAGTTGCTTGTTGTACAAGTAGTGCACCTGGGGGTCTCTACTACCCCAAAGTCAAAGATAGTAGGGAAACTTTGTAAAACCACCCGGTGACCCATTAGAAACACACCATCCTGAAGAGTCAGTTAACTTTGAATACAAACTCATCATCCATTAAGGCTTTTGTTAAGATCTTGATACTGCTGTAATTCTCTTAGAGATGCACTGAGTGAGCCTTAGGAAGAGATGGTACTTGTTCTTGTCACGTCTTTAAGGTTCTTTGATGAGGTGCCACAGAGTTAGGTTTGAGATGATTTCAATTTCATAAAACAAACTGGTTATGTGGTTACAAAAATAGACAATTTTGGTAGGAAAAAAAGGAGGACTTAGAATGTTATTTGCCTTTGGTCTTCAATTGCATGTTCGGAAGAAATTTCAGATCTACAAAAAGTATCTATAATGAGAACATACTTGATCCAAAGGTTTTGACTACCTAAGCTTCATTTTGTCCACTTGAGATATGTGTCGTACATTGAGGGGTGCACAGGAAATGTAAAGGTCATAGAAGCCGTGAAGAGATTCACATATTTAGGAGTGGTGATGCAAAATCATGGGAATGAAGAGATATTAAGAAGGATATCTCTGGCCAATCAATCATATTTTACCCTATCACTTCTACTGGTCAAGAGCTGTACACCGGGAAGTAAAGTTAAGAATATATAAATCTATTATTCTTCCTGTAATGTGTGATGCTTGTGAAACACGGATACTCAATAAAAACATGAATAAAATTAACATCTTTGAAAGGAAAGTCAATTAATTCTAGCCCCCATACAAGAAGAAAATACAGAAAATGGCATATAGAAGGCAAGACAACAATGAAATATCAGATGTGTAAGGAATCACCTGTGGCATACATTGCACAGATTATGGTGGGCAGGACACTTGGTGAGGATATAAAATGACAGGCTGCTAAAGAAAGTGTTAAATGGTAAACTGTATGGCAGTAGACAGGAAAAACAAATAATAGATGGGAAGAAGCTGTGGGTAGGGATGCAAATTATGGCAAATGTGGATGTGGAGAAGAACAGCTGAAGACAGGCAAGGATGAAGGAAATATATGCTGAAAGCCAAGGTTTAACTTGGTTGGCCAAGGTTGGACTGCAGAGCCATTGAAGTAGCTTCATTTGATTATGTTTCGCTTTGAATAAAATTCATACTTGTTTCAAATATATATGCCACATGTCCTGTTCAGCCTCACTAGAAAGTAAAAGCTTGTATTCACTTAAGGTCAATGAAAGGCACTTCAAGAAATCAATAGCAGCTCTAGGGAAGATTAGTGTGGTAACATTGCAACAGATTTACTTGGGTGAATAACTATGAATTTCATATTGAAGTTCCAAAAGTTTTTAACTATTGAGAAATGTCCTTGAGTGGTTATTTTTCATTAAGTAAGTGTTAAGTATAAACTCATTGATTATTGATAGTGTAAAAGCAATGCAATTACTCTTCAAACGTGAGGATTATATCTGCGATTGCTGTGAGGTTTGGTTTTTGATAAGACTTATAAATTCTGATGAAAATATTGTGATAAGTAATGTGAAGTCAATAGTAGCTGTAACCTGACCCAAAGAATATATTTGAACACTTGGCATATCTTTGAAATCGATATATTAATAAGTAATATTTGTGAAGTTATTAACGTAGCATAGTAACTTAGCCACATGATTGGTCAACATTAGGGGTGCAATGGTGATGTTTTCAAAACAGTGATATAAGCATAAATGTATTTGACATTGATTTAGTGAAGCCAATGTTATTTTAACATTAGTAGTGAACTTGATGATTTTACTTGGTTCATATCTTATTTTTTAATTCACAATTATTATAATGGTAATAATAATAATAACAATAATAATAACAACAACAACAACAATAATATACTAAAATAATATTTAGGTATCTTTGATAGATTTGAAAGTTCTTTAGTTTTTTTTTTTTTGTATTATCCAATACAGTAAATCAAAATTTAAAAAACAATTGTTTTGTCAGATAAATCTCAATTATAATTTAATATACACTACCACCTTCACATGAAATCCCCTTGCATGTAAACACTGATGTTAAGAGGTTAACTAAAATAGTTTTATAAACATAAATGGTTGTGGGTTGATGTATTTTAATATTGATTTTGAAAATTTGATCATCAATTTTTCAAACATCAATGTTTTGTTTTCAGTAACACATCTAGTTCACAATACCAGAAATGTATTGGTGTCGCATGTTTAAACTTTGTCAGGCAAAATATAGTCTTCTTCAAATTGTTGGCGTAGTTTCTAATTATGAGTTAACTGGGCTAGGTTTGTTTTAGATATTACTGTAGTAAAGTTCTGAGACCTTCATACTACATGTAGAAATATTTTCCTTTGTAGGCTCATCAGAGATTAAAAATTACAAAAGAACACTCCATCAAGCCCAAAGATGAAGCCGATCAAGATAATCAGGCATCAGCAAGTACAACTGTTCCAAAAAGTTTATATTGTTCAGTTCACAGACAGGTAATATTAACATTGAAACTTGATATGTACATTTCTTTTTGATGCTCAGACTTGCAATCAATATCTGCAACATTTAATATTTTTCAGGAGCGTCTTTCTCTATTTTGTGAAACTTGTGACAAATTGACATGTCGAGATTGTCAGTTAACTGATCATCGCGATCATAAGTATAAGTTTATTCATGAAATTGCTGCAGAAACAAGAAACGCTATTAACGGCTTACTGTCTGAAGTGAGGTAATGATATTGCTTGGATTTGTAATCTAAATTTCTTAACTACGGTTTCTTGGAATTTTGGGACAGAGATGATTGATTGTTGTTGGATTTTCCTTTTTCATTTCTGTCAATTCTTATTCATTGCTTTGCTTGTATCAACATTTTAATTGAAATCTTTAGTGCTTTTTTGTGAAAATTCATTTCTGATTAATTTATTTTTAACCTTTTACAGCTACAAGAGAGTCTTATTAACAAGTGCTATGAAAGTGATTGATGACAGACAAAATTTGATTGTCCAAAAAAAGAAAGCATTAGTGAAGGAAATCACTCATCTAGTGGTGAAGTAAGTTTTTCAATGCATATTAACAGTTCTTTTTACTTTCTTCAAAACATTGAACTATGTGTTGTAGTCATGGTAAGGAATAATTTTATGATTTGAATAATTAAGAGTTTTATGTAGTACTATTCCTTTTCTGTTAAAATTGATGTATATAATAAGGCAAATAAATTTGTTTTCCTTTCTTTACATTCATGATCTGTTAGGGTACAGTACGTAGATCAGATGTTCTCCAACAGTTTGTGAATGCTATCAAAAATGATAATGAATATATTACAAATTACATATTAAAATTTCAGCTATTATGTGCAAATCTTTTAAACTGCATAAAACAGAACCCTATGGCTTCTAAAACCCACTTTACAAGTAAAAATGATATTTTCGTTTTTTTTTATTATTTTTCCTGTTGTATTTATATATCGTAAGAACAAATTGTAAAAGGGAAAATATAATATAAAGAGAAAATTTGGAGCCAATTTTGAGATTTTCCCAGTTTCAGTAGCTCAAGGCATCATTTGATATCACTGTGGTGACTTCGATCAGAAGGTCCTAGGATGAGTCTCGACAGTGGCAGGATTTTCAACATTCGCTATGTAGCTCGGTCGAATTAAGCCGCTGGCTGAAGGAGAATTCTAGAGGCTGCTTGATTGATAGTTTTCTGTGGTTTCTCTGATCACCACAACTGAATGCCAGACTAATACCTTATCAAATGGGCCACAGGTCACATATGATCTTTTCTTCCTCATCTTTGTCATGCCATCACCCCCTTACTGACACACACTTACATTTACATGCACTACTCTACCAGTCATGCTGGGAGACCAAACAGGAACTCAGCACTTGTCCCGGCTGAGGAGGTGCCTGATTAGGGAAAAACTCGCTAGCCGACTTGTAGGTAGACTCTAAAGCTCGCCATCTAGCAGGGAAGATCACTACCACCTCCTGTAATAAAACACGCCCGGAATCACTAATCAATCAATCGAGATTTTGAAAATATACTTAATGTAAAGTACCCTAAAAAATTAACCATTTCAAATGTGGATAACCATTTTGGAAAACATCCTGGGAATAATTTTGTCCCTGTGAAGACCAAAGATGGACTGAAAGACAGACAGTTTTGAAAACTAGTGGTGCTTCAACACATACATTCTCATGTCACTGATAACTGTTTCCTAAAATTATAACATTGCACCTTTAGTCCAACTAATATTTCAGTTATATGATAAATACTTTAAAATACATTTTTAAGGGAACTTGGATCTTTTTGAGAAAAAATTAGAAGAAAATATTTATAGGCAGTTTTTAAAGGAGGACTCCACAGATTCTTGTACTCCATTGTACGTATTGAAAATTGTCATTTATTTTCACTTAGAATTATGCAAAAGCTATGTATATTTAGAAAAAAAATGCCACCAGATTAATTAAAATATAATTTAAGAAAAAACAATTTCATTAGGAAAATATCTTTATTATAATGAAGTTGAAGTTCAAAAAGTTTGAAACTTTTGCAATTTTCAAAAATTTGGGAGTTTTAATTAAAATTAAACCTGCACAAACTTTTTTCTTTATTTTAGGGTATTTGTTAAAAATAATTTCAGTTGTTTGAATAAAAATTGGAAATGTCATAAGGGCTTGTGTAAAATTCCTCCTCCCCCTCCAAATTGAAAGCTCAATTTCAAATATGCTGAACCATGAGTGCAGTCAGATCTATTGGGAATATCTTTGGTGTAAAAAATACTGTGAATAATTTTGGCCCTTGAATTATATCAAACAATTGGATGACCAGACAGACTTTTTGTGTGAAAAAAATCCTTGGTATCTGGAACCCTTAAAAAATTTGTCAAAATTGTGACTTGGGGGAGGGGGGGCCAGCATTACAATAATTTCTCGATTCTATGTATATGAGAAAGTAAAATCTAGCTGAGGTAATCTGGCATTGCCATAGCATTTATTTATCATAATCATCTTATTATGCTGGAAGGGCAGTGAAGTCTATTCTAGTCTGTGTATGATGTAGTAAAATGTAAGTAATTAAATTTACAATCCTTCCCCACCTTGCTCTGCTCTTCCCTGCTGTGCCCTTCTCCATCAGACTAATCATCAACTTAAATTTCTCAAAGCATAATTATGCCAATCAAATGTATTAACAAATTCAAGTGCATTTAATAAGTATTTTATTTGGTTTTTAGAAAATATAGATACACTGTCACCAATTAACCCCCTGTTTTTGAGATATTCTCAAGAAACTGCAAGAATGGAATTACGGATTGGGATAGGGAAACCAGTAATTATTTTTTCCAAATTTCAGAAACTGTGACCTTCCACTCGTTTTGGAGGTCAAGTATTCAAAAAAATTCATTAAGATTGAAAGAAAAACTTATTTGAATAAATTTTTTTTGAAGTAGAAGATAATGATCTTACAAAAATGTAGGCCAAAATGCCCAACAAAATATGTTTCAGTGAAAACACCATTGTAATTATTTAAGCTGGTCCCAAGTTTAACCAGGACAAACAGACAAAAACTATAAAAACAATTGAATGGGTTTTTATATCATCACACACTTCAATTTTGTTAATACTGATAATGGAAATAAAATTATTCATGGTTGTAACAGTAGAGTTAAGCAAGATATCTGAACTCATGACCATTAAAATGCAGGGAAAATTTTGAGACGGTTATGTAACTAGATACTATTTCTTAAAAAATTAGTCTAGAAAAAATAGTGACTATTTGTTGTGAATTCTTTTTATGTTTTACTTCATTACAGTGAAATCGGAGCTGACACATTAGTATCAGGATTGCTTTAATATTTTTAAATAGTGAAATATTCTACAAATCTTATTAGTGAAGAAAAAGAAAACAACAACAACAACAACACTGGAAACTCAGGAAAAGTCTGGGAAATTTGTTTTAGGAAAGGAGTAACCACCCTAAAATACCAGCCAACACTAATTTTAATCGTCCATTGCAAATATCTCATGTGAACTCTGTAGTAATTGTGAACATTCTAAATCAGTTTTCATTAAAGTGTTGATAACAATAAATATATAAAAATAAATAAACACATGTTAGATTTGATAGATTCTCTGTATAAAGTTAATTTGATGTTTGTAAGTTGGTTGTTGTGGGGTTCATTGTATTAAAAGATATCATTTTAAAAAAAACTTACAATGAACTGAATAATAGTCTTTACCATGATTTAATAACGAAATGTTCTAATGATGTGAATTAGTAGTTTGAGAGAATAACATAGTATTTTAAATATGCATTTTAGATTGACCAATACTATTAATGCAAGAGGAAAGCAACTGGTAATGCAGTTGAATGAAGTGTGTGATAGCAAGCAGAAAACATTGCATGAAAAGAAGACTGCTTTAGAACAATTATCTAATTTAACTGATCACTGCATAGACTTTGTTAACAATGCCTTAAATAAGGGCAGTGACATGGCTTTACTTTTTAGCAAAAGGTATGTATGACATTTGAAAATAAATTATTTGAGTTTTGTGTGTATTTGATGTTATTTTAACATGGTTGTATTTTACCTTGCAGAGCTTTGCACAATCACCTTCAGCGCATTAAGAGTCGTAGAGCTGACATTCCAAATCCTGAGATTCCTGTCCGAATACATTTAGGCATGGAAAAGGTTCCTGATCTTCTTAAAGGTAGTGTATTAAAAATGAATTGTTATATATGTATGTGTATATGGTATATATATATATACACACACACACATATACGCACGCACGCAGAAAACTGAATTGCCTTTGGCTGTGTGAGAGGTCTCTGGTTTTGATAGATGCCCACAAACTGGGGAAAATTTAAAAACAATGAAACAATTTTGATATCGATTAAAAAATGCAAATATTTGATTATATTAATCTACCATTTGTGCTACTTGATATTTTCTGAAACTTGATGTGTCACAGTTTACAACGTGGCTGACATTATGTGATGAGGAAAAAATAGTGTCTGTACCTACATGTGCTGTTTCTGAACAGCTTCTTTTCACTGCTCCAGGACCCCATTTTACACACACACATACACACAGCAAGAGCATTTTTGCTGTTGCAGGCCACTAGTTGTATTCTATTTGCACTGATCAAGAGAGTGCAAAACAAATTGTCAATTTTGCTATTTTTTTCTATTATTTCAAAAGAACTGATAATAATTTGGAGCTAGAGCTTATTGTTAGTTTTAATGTTTCTTGCAGGAAAGTGTCCAAATTGAAAAGAAACTGGTGGGGCCTTTTTTTATTTCCTGTGTTACAGTTGTTAGCATATTGACTTACAGCCCACATTTTATCCGGTTTGAACAATTCTTTCTTTGTACATGTCTCTGTCATCATACTCTTCACATTTGCATCGTTTCTAAATCATTTTTTACCAGCTTAGGGCAGTGCCTTTGACTGGGAGGTTCTGGGGCTTGAGTCCAGATGGTGGAAGGATTCAACCAGTCTGGAGGAGAATTCTTGCGGCTTGGTTCAGTAGATTTCTTTGATTCAGGCAAATCCCGAAGCCGGATCCTAACAAACGGGTCCCGGACCATGCCGTCCTTCCTTCCTCTTTTGTACTTACACTCCTCCTATCCTCACTTTGTACTTACACTTCCATGCATTACACTACCACACATGTCAAGAGACCTGTCAGGGGCTTGGAGTTTGGCTAGGCTGGAGCAGTGTCACGCAGGTGGGGCATACCTGTTAGAGGAAAATCCCTGCATGTCTACGTAAGTCTGCACCGTCTCTCGCAATCCTGTGTGGGAAGATCAATGCCACCTTCCGCAATAAAAACGTGCACTACACTTACAGGACTAATGACCTTAGCAGTTGATGCTGTTGGAACCACTAATCAATCAGTCAATTACATCAGAAGTACTTAATTGCTTGATATCTTTGTTTCCGATACTTACCCACTTATCTAGTAGGGATCTTCATATACTCCTCTGATTTCAAGTAACACTCATAATTTAAAGTGAATTTACACTTGTCACATTTACATCTAATTTTCTACTCTATTCTCAATGTATTTTTTAAATTATTATTGATAATGCAAGATTGTTTTCATTTCTTTACATAAAACAGACAATTTGATAAAGTTATATACAATGGTGATGTATCTATCACAACCTTTGTACATCTAATGTTACAGCTATCACGGGAAAGTCTTCGATTTAAAGAGTACAACAGAACACCGTATCTTCTACAACTCTGTTTACAAGTAAAATTGTCTTTCTTGTTTCACTGTATAATGAATATATGATTTGCATTACTGAATCTATTTTTCTCAATGTCATTGATCATATTCATTGCTATAGAAACATTATTTGGAAGTTTCTTAATCTTCAGAAACTTCCATTTTCTCATCCCGTTTTAACAAGTTTCTTAACTTGACCAACTTTACCGAAAATGTGGTCAACGTAACTTTTATAGTTCATCTCCATTAACTCTATTGTCGATTCTTGCCTGTTGTATTTATTTTTCTTTTTCTCAGGTTCCTTAATTATTTAATTAGAACAAGACATTCAGAGAAGCAAAATCTCCTTTCATATGGAAACACTTGAAGCTGTTTTGAGCAAATCTAGTTTACATATTTTTCAATCATTGTCATGTTTTCACTTGAAATTATTAAAAAAATACTTGTATTTTTAGAAAATTTAACAATTTTGCAATTAGAGCAGTGGATCCAAAAGGGTTTTCAACTGTTAGAAATTTCCATAATTCAAGAGCTTTTAATGAAAATCTGATTAATGGCATTTTTATAAGCATTAAATATGATATCACTGTTTCAACAAGGAAACAAACAAAAAAAGAAACGAGAAAATTTGGAGCCAGTTTTCAGATTTTTCCGGCTTAGATGACCAGGGTATCAATTGAATCGTTTATTTCAGAAACCTGTCAAATGCCAAATTCCGGATTTTGAGAAAACTGAGAATAAGTGTCCCAATTTTTCAGTTTTGAAAATATTTTTATTTATTAAAGCAGTTGATAAATGAATATATTTCATATAAATATGCACTAAACGATTTGTCTTATATTGCAACAATAATCTGTCGCTAATGCACATTTTAGATTTTGGTGTTTCATGGGTTTCTGACATAACGATTCAATTGATGTTCTCGCAGGGCCTGAAACCAGAAGGTCCTGGGGTTCAAGTCTCGAGTGTGGCAGGATTTTTGACACTAGCTTCATATCTCGATTGAATGCAGCCAGAGGAGAATTCCTACAGCCAGCGACTGTGTTTGCTAGTTTTGCGTTGGTGTTTTTTCCACAACAGTACCCTAACAAACAGGCCATGGCCTGCACATGTTCTTTCCATCCTCTTCCTTGTCCTACCCGTTACTACACACTCTTACATATCAAAGCACTACACTACCACACCTGCCAGGAGACCAGTTGGGAGCTTGTCCCAGCAGGGGGGAGGTGCCCCTCTGGAATCACTGATCAATAAATAATTTTTCAACAGGAGCAATCTGAATGAATGTGCTTGTACATTAATTATACTATATGACAGTGTGGTGTGGTGTTAACATGTGGTCGCAAAGTAAATCTCAAAATTAAATAAAAAAATTCATTTCCATTCAATTCAAAACTATTTTGGTGAAATGCATTAAATATATCTTTGAATCCTGAACCTTCTTACAACTTGCTCATGAGAAAGATTTTTTAAGTTTACTTTCATTTACTCTCAGTTTTAGTTTTTTGACCAGTTTTCTTTTGTGATTTTGATTTATTTTAATTATATTAAACTGTAATCAGATACTGCCATGAGAAGGTGAATATAGTGAATTTCCAGCTAGTTTTGGAGAACATAATAGTAGGAAAAGGAGAAAAATTTGAATGTTCTCTCTCAACTTTCAAATTTGGTATCATAGTTTTGCAAAAAGGATACACAAGAATCATGGTTCTCAGGAAAACAAGTTTTCAACATCTGATTTCTAAAAGAAAGGGAACTTGCATGCTAAATATTAAATATTGTAACTAAATGTACTACAAGTAAAGTTGCAATTGGAATTGTGAAACTATTCTAAAAGCTTTATATGTATTCATAATTAATGATTAAATAAAAGCAAATTAAGCTAATACTATTTTTCTTGGTCTTGTAGTGATGTCCAACATCGGCAGTATAATTGTTGATGGCAGAGTGTACGCCTCCTCAATCGGACTGAATCAAGGTGCTAACCAGCAAAATGGTTCTGCAACTAACCAGCAACAACAGCAGCAGCAGCAACAACAACAGCAACAGCAGCAGCAACAACAACAACAACAACAACAACAACAACTTCTGCAACAACAGCAGCAACCAGCTGCTGTACAACCACAGCAAATGCAGCAACCACCACCACCACCACCACAGCAACAACAACAACAACAACAACAACAACTGCAACATCAGCAGCACCTCCACCATCAACAACAGCAACATTCACAACAGTTGACACCACAGAATGATCAACAGCAGCAACAGCACTATATGATGCAGTCACAACAAACCATGCAACATCAGCCATTCCAACCGCCTCCTCCACAGCAGCAGTTGCAGCCTATGATACCTCATACTCAACCTCAAATGCAACTGCAGCCATTGCAGCAACTGCAGCACCATGTTCAGAGACCACTCTCAGGTGCCAATCAGAATAATCAGGGCCAGGTCCATGTTGCTCCCCCCTTGCATCCTGTTAATCGTGTTTCTCCCCAAATGCATTCAAACCGTTCATCTCCCCACCAGCCTTTACAACAAGGTCCCCCAAATGTCCCTCGCTCTGTTCCTGCTGCCCTGAGACAATCTCTAAACCCAGGACAGTTATCACATGTTCAAGCTGTTGGTTTAATGCAGTCCCCTCAGAACAATCACCAAGTAACTTCTTCCACCCATCCACAAACAGTTGGTTTGGATGGCCTTAATTTACGAGGTCTTTTGTCACCTCATCAGACAACGGCATCTTATAGTATGGGACAACCTGTACTTAGAGTCAGTATGTCTAATCCATCGCATCCATCGTTACATCCTGGTTCTTCCGCAGGCTACAGACTTCCTTCGCCTCAAGCGTATCCTCAAAACATTCAACCTCGGTTCACAAATGCTGTACCTAATCAGACTGCACCTGTGTATCATCTTCAGCAGCAGATGCATCATCCAGTGCAGCAACAGCTGCACCAGCAGCCACAACAGCAAGCAAGAATCTCTCCTCAGGCAATTATATTTAACAGTCCAGGTATGTGACATTGGGCAATAATGATGAATAACCATAAAAGGGCTCGGGTGTAAAAAGATGATTTCCCTCATTATAGTTTTTGTTCTATGATAACATTTAGCTCCTACTAATTTTGTCCATGCAATGTAATTCTCAAATAGTCTAATTAATTTCTCATAATGCTCCCCAGTTGTCAGTTTTTATGTATCTTACTTATGCCTTATCAAAATGTAGGCACATACCTCGGAACCTTTTTTTATGTAGATTGTTTTACACCCAAACCCTTCAAATAGTCAACCCTTTTTCTGCTATGTACTCTCTACAGTCAGCTGCTAGGTGGTATTGATTCATTAGCATAAGCAACAGCAGTGTAAATATGTAGGCTATAACTCAAACCTGCTTTCTCACAATAACTCTGAATAAATGTTAATTGCACTACAGAGGACCTATATAAGAAAAACGATCAAAAGCCATTTTAAGTGTCTCATTCCTCTGAGAATCTTCAGATGCCTCCTAATTTTCAAAAACAGGCTTCACCTTCCTTTCGGATTGAGATCCTTGAAAATAAAATTGGAACTGAATATTTGTGACTGTAGCAGCAAAAGGGTTAATATTATTCTATACAGTGAAAACCCTCAATTTGGACACCCTTTCAAGGATGCAGCAGGGAGAGGGAGTCCCCTCTTCTCCAAAAGAAGTAACATTTTGGAAAATTCTATCTATCATTGTTCTGTAATTTGTCTATAAACATGTGCTATCACCGTCTCTTTGTTAAATTTGTTACAAGAGTAGTTGTAGTAAGACCAAGGTATTGACATCATCATAGAATTTGGCCATTTACATATAATGACATGTCAAGAATTATGAGTTTTTAACATCCTTTTTGTATTCTTATTTTGAGTTTAGAAAAATTTAGAAATGTGTGGACTTTTGCAATTATGAATGAAGTTGTGAATTTTCTCAGTTTCTTGTTAACTGGTAGCAGAAACTTGCTCAAATGAAACTTTGTCAGATGTACTACACTCTGAAAAATCTCAGTCGATTGAGCTTGACATCGTCGACATTCAGATAATGAGCAGTTATTCAAAATAAATTAAGACTTTAAAGCAAGGAGGAGTGGATCCTTGTTTTCATGTTTCAAGTTAATCTCAATCCACTGGGGAGCTACTGGGGAGCAACTTTTACACCAATCATAAATCTTATAAAAAGTTCATAGAAAATCTTCCAAACATTCTGACAAATAATAATTTGCATCCCGTCTCTGAAAACCCACATGATCAAGCCAATGAAGCAGGTATTACCACTGGCTTTTTATAGACTTTTCTCTTCCTACAACTACAATAATGAAGATAATGATGTTCATTTTCTTAATGGAATGAGTTCTTCAAAGATAGATTTTAAAGTAAGGTCATGTACAATTTTTTGGAAATATTTTTCATTAAAGATTGGTTGAAATCCCAGCATATTTTAAACCACTATTTTCTCAAAAACTGCTCCAACATTTTTTCTTAAATTTTTTTCCTCGTATATCAAAGGACAGTAGAAATATGCGGTAGTCCTATTACCAGTGAACTCTTACAAAAATTGCAAGAAGTTAATCTTGCAAAAGTACAATATTATCGAAAGAGAGTTTTGTCATGAATAAAATTTCATCTTTATGAAAGATCTTGTAAAATTATTTCAAAAAAAAGTTTTGCTGATTGGTTATAGTTTTGGACAGATATGTCAAAGTTCACGAGTTGAAACGCGATCGAAGCCATATTTAATCACAAAAAAACTTCGTATGATGTTCTTTAAGATGGGAAGTAAAGCCAGCTGTCTCATGTTGTAGATTTACTGAATGTAAAAGATCTTCATACCTAAAAAGAAGCCTCTTGAGCAAAATTCAAGTCATGTTTCATCGTCCAAGTGATGCCTCCTTTCTCTGATTTCTCTAACAGTGAATGGAGCATTGTGGAATATGTGTGGTCAGGGGGAAGAGCAGGCCTATTGGCCTGAGTCTCACTGTGGAAAATAGGGCATAATTGAATTCAATTCAATTCAATTCAATAGTTTTTGCATCATTTCTGCTTGAATTTACAAAGTTCAAATAAAAATAATATAACATTTTCTTAAAAACTGCTCCTAACTTTTTCTTTAAATTTTTCTGTGAATGGAACATGGAATATTTATAAGAAAGGTGCAGGTCTCATTTTCGTTACGCTTTCTGAATTTTTGAAAATTGCATATTTAGAAATTTTGCAATAAAGTATGTACTATTGTAACCATACTAGTTCTACATTGAACCCCTTTTCATGGAATTAAATTCAAATTTGATTTCTTACCTTGAACAAAAAGTGTCCAAAATGGAGGACTTTTGCTGTATTGACTGTGGATTCTTGTACAATATGACAACTTCTTGCAACTTTATTCCCTCCTTGCGTGCTCGACTCATTGCAGTTGATTTTTGTCATTTGTCAGAAATCTGGGGAAAACTGGACAAGGTGTATTTAAAAGCCTCTGAAACCATCTTCAATGTTTTGGAAGAATGTGTCTAAATGACTTGCACTGTGATTTGTGTAAATATTTTTTTTGTTTTTTGCTGGTTTACTTCAATAATGAAAAAAATCTTTCCTTCATTTCACTAATTACAATTTTATTTTTTTACACTTTTCTGGGAAAAAGCAGTATAAGAATACATTTTGTGTTGTTTTGTAAATTAGTTTTCTGAAATAATTACCAAACAAGTACATTAATTTTCAAATCATTAATATTGTATGTAATCATTTCTTTATTTTAGAACACTTATTTGTTTTTAGGAATGTAATTTTTGTTAGTGTTAAAACCCAAGTGTAAAAAGTCTCTTAAAGCAACAATACCAACTTGGGGTTCCCCCAGAAACACAAATGGATGTTGAAGGTTGTAAAAACAAGAACAAATTAGTGGAAAAGATGAACATTTCCAAGGAAAAGATATAGTAACTTCTCAGTGGAGTACATTTAATATATTTTACTGGAAGGTGAAGATATATTTCCGAAACCAGCAATTGTAATGAATGTTCTACCAGAGACTGTTTTCCTATCCCTACTGTAGATTGAATTTTTCTATTTACTAAAGTGAGTGAACTGATTATGTAATCATTCATTTCACAAATGGCTCTTGATTTTTGATAAATGCCTATGTACATTCTCAGAATCATTACCTTGTTTCCGAAACACTACATATTTTTGTATTGACAATTTGATTTGTTTAATAGTCACCAAGTTTTTTAAGTTTAATACAGTAAATTTTTTTTTTATTTACTTTTTGGGCTATTCATATTGTTAATATAAATAAATAATTTTATCAATTCACTATTTTTTGGGAAAAGTTTTAAACAAATAGAATATAATAAATGAATTAATCATGCATTTTAACATGCTTCTTTAGTAAAAGGCATATGCTGCATGGAGCTTTTTCAAGGAAAATGTGCTGTCATACTCAACATAACATTGGAATATATAATCATTCTAATGAATTTTAATTGCACCATAAACATTAACAAGTCTTCATTGATTCTGATAAAATATTGTGTATGGAGCCAAAATTGAACAGTTCAAAATTCATAACATTTCCTTCAATCGTTTTGTAAATGTTGAACAAAATTAAAAAATTCTGTTTTAAAGTGCATTTTAATAAAATCGGTTTCACTTCTGCTTTATGTTTTTCATTCCAAAGTGAACTGCAGTTATTGATTTCCCTATTTATCATCATCATCATTTTAGATTTAGAATTTATGGGTGTTTTCCTTTAATTTGTCCCATCGCTTCCTTGATCACTTCTAAGGCACCCAGTCTTCTCTTTTTCCTCTTGGTCTTGTATTTATTGATCCAAATGGTTGGCATTGTGTTCCCGTTCTTATTGGCCCTGGCACTTCACCCTGTATTTCTCTATTTTGAGGTTATTTTAGATTTAATTGTCCTGCTTTGTTTTTTCATTCCTTCCCCTCCTCCTGTTCCTTGACACAAGGAACACACAGTTAGGAATCATTGTTTCTGAGAGAGAAATTCATGTTAAAACTTTAATTTATTATTTTTCACAATACCTGTTTTGCCTTTCTCTCTACAAAGTCAAAGACTCATCTAAGAAATGGAAGCTATCTCAATGTTTAACACACTTTTGAGATGGTGCTGTGGCAGGTATTTTGAGAAACTTTTTCATATTCTGAAAAAAGCTTCATCTAAAGATTTTGCCCAAATTATGCATTTTGACAGAACCTGTTGTAAAAAACAGAAGTTTATACTTTCTTTGTATTTTTCTCCATTTTCTTCTTTCTTTCTTATTCCCTGTTCCCTTCCTTTGTTTTTCCCCTCCTCCTGTCAAAAACCTCCACTCCTCCATGTCTGCATATCCATCACTTCCCAATATCGCCTACACTTCGCACACAATTTTCTCCAAAAACTTTTTTTTGAATCTGGGGCTGAATAGGCTCAACTTGCGAGTCAGCAAATTTTAAATGAATAGTTTGATTTTAAGTAGCCCCCCCCCCTCCTTTAGGATCAATTTTCATTATGAATTCAGTATTCAGGTTGATTAATTTTGTCGCAAAACAGGAAGTTTCAACTCTCCATTTTGGAAGTTTGCACAAAACTACAGTATGAAAAAATACGGGCGTTAGTGTGGTCCGGTGCGACTTAGCTTACTGTTCACCGACATTAAACGAGAAACATTCGGCGCATTTAAAGCAAATGTTCAAACTCGAGGAAAGATTTATGACATGTCTGTCTGCATAAAGTGCGAATATTAGTGCTATCTTTTATACTGAGCGTGCCTGGTCTGCATGTCTTCTAAGGCGCTCGAGCGTTGGGTTGACGCGCGTTAAATATGTAGATTATGCGTGCATCTTATGCTGATCTACCAATAGCGCTTGTGTGCCGTTCCGCAGAAGATAGTGTGAAGTTCCGACGCGCGTCGACGCAACGCTCCGATGGCGCAGGCCTAAGTACTTAATAATGTACTTCAGCTTCCGCTCTCGATCACATTTTTGCCCATTTTCTCGGGTC